GCGTCTCTGGCATGTGGCAGCCAACTCGATTACCTTCAAGAAGGAAATGTGTAAAAAATCTTAACAAATTACTTTCTTCAGGATGCATTACTCTGTCTTCTGCTCCATCAAAGTTTGGAATTCATCAAAATTTATTATTTTATCAAATGCATTTATTTACTTTTTCTGCATTCATCTCCATTTCGAAGATTACCTTCCGCCCTTCCTTCTATGGGAACAACTTCTGGTTTGCTTCTGATATTTTTAATTCAATGCCTATTTTAAGCTGTATTTTCCAGGCTTTGACAACGAACAAAGGAATTTCTTGATCCTAACTATTTACTTTTGGGTTGCTTCATGCAATAATATTAATCTTATTTCAATGGCTGTTTACCTGCTTTTAGTTCGCTTATACTTCTAAAATGAATCCATGCGAAAAGAGGTAACTTAGGCGTGTTTCATTTCCGCATCCCCAGAAAGCATAATAAATCATGAATGCATGACTTCATAGATGAACGGTTTACTAATATCTAATTGATATACGACTTCACATTTCAATATTTAAAAAAAGATTGGCACACGTAATGCGATAAGACTACGAAAATTACATATGAACCAATTATTGATTTTTTTGATCAAATATTTCTTAAAAGCATCCTGAACGTCTTTAAACAGCAAAAACAAAATGGCGTGAAACAATTCATGTTCTTAAAACGTCACATTCTGTAAGGCGGAAAGACATGTAATCATCTATGCTCGAGGAAAAATCAATTGTAAATTCTTCTTGATCGACTTTTGACGAAAAACAGCAGTTCAAATTCATTAAACTTTACAACATTAAACTTTAGTAAGTGTAGAATCGAATAATCAACGCATGTTCCAGACTTTCTTTGTGGGGCATACTTTAAATTCTTCTGAACATTTGTAATGCAAAAATTTTCATCCAATCTTAAACGATACGAATTCCAGAGAATTCTGTCATAAAATCTTGTCGATTAGGTGAATGGGGCTGCGCCCTATTTGTACCAATTCCAGAGAGGAGGCTTTTTTCTTGATCATATCAGTACCACGAAGGCACAATCTTCTTCATTCAACAAAGAATGTCTTTTCAAAATCAACTATTATTTCTTCCAATAAACGCATTGTTAATATCCAGTTAATTATGTCTTCATTCCTCTAAAAGTTTCAATAATTTAAGAAATTCTTTTGAGAATACTTTTATCTCAAAAGTCTTGTTTTTCTTCGTTTCATTCTCTAACAAGATATTAAATTACGCACTATTTGTATATTTATGTGTTCATAAGAATGCTTATCACATATTTCGGTTAAAGAAATCTTCTTATATTAAGTAGGTCTTTCTTTCCATTTCTAAATATGTCGCATTTCAGAAGTATCGGAGTTTGTGAACAAAATTTCTTATTCATAGAATAAAACCTAGCCAAATGGCAAATGATTTGATAGGCGTTTTTCAAATCAGACTTTTGCAATTCGGATTAGTCCAGCATTTTCTTAATCCCTCGGACCAGACATCACTTCCTCACTTGACAAGTTCCCACCAATCTTTTCAAATAAACTGTCTTTTCCGATCAGCTCGATTTGTTTTGTTATTTGTGGAGGGAGGATCGATACCCACTTTTAGTTGATTAATACATTTGGCAACTGCTTCACGTTGAAACAATTTGAGGAAATTGCATGTAATTAAGCGACAAAATCGTAGGATACAAAAGCAATCAGTTTATTAACATTTAACATACACTGAAAATAGGCACGTTCGCATTACACGCTGCTACAAATTTTGATACAAAATAAATTTAAACTATTCAACATACTATTAATGCATTATTTATGAAACTAAATGTACTTTGTTACTAATGTACTAAAATGTACCTCGTTATTTAATTACAACGATTTTGGTACGCAAATTAAGAAAGAGAATTTTAAACGGCGTCATAAAATTTAAGAAATAGGGAACTTAATTTTCCACAAAAATACTCCTTTCTTTAGATAAGATAACCCGAATATAATAATTTCCTACAGTTAGAACAATTTTACGCCAGTTCGTATTCACTTAACAAACCGTTTTTTTTTTTTTTTTTTACCCCAAGCAACACTTTCATTAACTTGAAAATTTTTAATTAAAATTATTTTTTTTACATTACGAAACTAAAAGAAATGCTTACTAATATGCAAAGTATCAATTTACTACCAAATCAATCAATAAAATTAGTTATTTACTTTAAGAAGAAATTGATGGCATAGATATTTTTAGAATTCGGGCTTAGACTTAAGATACCAAATTTTCCTAAATTCTAGTATTTATAAGTCGATAACATCATGCTACACAGTTTAATTTTATTAATCTGGTGGATTCATTACTTGCTTTCGTTAAATAGCCTTCTCCTACCTAGATACAATTTGCGGATTCTTGACTGCTTTAAACAAATATCCTTTTCCTCCCTAGATACACTTGTATAGAGGTTCGTAACACCTACATTTTTGATTCACACTCGCACAATCTGGTATTTGAGCCAAAAAAGTGAAGAAAATAGGCCTGTAAGATAAATTAGCATCGTAATAGTTCTCCAGACAAAATAGTCAGATTAAGACGCGGACTAAACAGAGCAACAACACAGTGTGGTTCGCTACGCTTAATCAGATGCCAAAATTCAATAAGCATGAAAAATAATAACCTCAAAATGTATCTTGCAACATATTTTTATCAAATTATTTTCCTTTAATTGTATATCATATAAAACAACGTAAAACGAATATATTTTTCTTGTGCTTTTATAATTATGGCAGTCTCTGACCTAGGTGTGAATGCCCGATCATCCTTGAAAGCTACGGAGAAGAGCTCCAATGAAAAAATTTACCTACCTAAAGCTTTACACTGTCGCTTAGTACATAAAAGCAAACGAAAAACAAGCACAATCAGTTCTATGGTTATTTTCATTTCTGGTTTTGCTCCTTCGGCTTTGTGATTCATGGTCACCTCCTTTTACTCACCTTAATCCTCCTAACTAATTATCCTGTAATATTGTATTGTCATGTGCCCAATGGGCTTTGTTACTTGAGACGGACACGTCGCGTATTGCGCGATATCCCGGCCATACAAGTACGGATACGGATACAAAATCTGTTTGTTCTAATATAGAGATGATAACGTCGAATCCACACCTAAATCCTAAATTTGCATTTTTTGCTTCATTTGCTTTACATCCATTTCTGAGGTTTAGTACTAAACAGCGTTTAGTACTAAAACTTTTGCATCTATGTCAAAAAAGATGTATAATCTAAAAGGTGCACATACTAAAATTATTGTCCAGAAAACACAGCTCAATTTTTCTCAAAATTAAGAACGTAGAAAATGTTTAAATATTGTTTTCCTGGAAGCAATAGTTCAGTAGATTCGTGATTTCGAACTACCTTAACCGCTAACAGAATAAATGAAGCTATTAAGGTAAAATCGGCACTAAGTCAAGTCATTTATTCTAATAGCTGAGAGAAGACTGGTTTATGTGATTGTGACAAAGCCTCAAGGGCTATCTGCTTAAGAGGAGGAATGTCTTCATGGAAGACTTTCTAACGGAAAACTGGCTCGTATACACGTTACACATGGAGAAACCCATGAAAACGCCCATGCAAAAGCATTTCTTTTCTTCCCTTAAATACAAAAAAAAAATTGCAATCTTCAAAACCCATCCCTCAAAATAATAAAAATAATAATAAATAAATAAAAATATAATAAATAAATAAAAGAAATAAAATAAAATAAATAATAGTAATAATTCAAACCTTAGAAGTACAAATCGAATATAGAATCAGAATATTCTGTCGGTTAAATTTTGCTATTTTATGTGAAACCCAATAAATATATCTCGATAAGCATGACCAGTCAACCAGAATATCAGATAACAACAACAAAATATATAAATAAAATAAAACAAAACTAATGTTTTTTCTTCATTACTAAATGGGACCGATGGCTGCACTCTTATTTATTTTATTTATGTATGCATTTATCTTTTAAATTTGAATTTCAGGCAGATTTAAAGAAACTGCATAGATCATCATTCTAGGCATGCAATAGATGCATGCCCAGAAAATCGGAACTGAGATGCTAGAAAGATCGCTAAAGCCTATTTACAAATAACACATACAAACCAGCGTTCAATCAGTAAATAATCTATTTTATAGATAATCTTATTGTTGAAAAGAAAGTAAAAATATTATTAAGAAGTATAGTATTTTAAAGTGGCTTTTTTTTATTATTATGATAAACTAATAAGCACTTACAAAAATTGAAAAATAAAAACTTGACATCATGAAGACTGCATCATTGCAAAAATCAGAATTCTCGAACAAAAAATATTCCTATTTTTAGAAGGAAACTGGTAAGTTTAAATAATTACTTATTTTAGAAATAATTTGTGATCATGAAGAAAATACAATACGAATTTTTCCATCAGCAGAAAACAAATTTTTAATACGAATTTCAAATTGTGTCTTTTCATGAAGTCTAGAACCAAAACACGTTTCTGAGTTAATATACTCAGACTAATTAAAAGTTCTGCATAAGATTAATTTTATTCTATTAGGCCCGTCGTAAACAAATATGATTCAGTTTTCCTTTAGGAAGTCGTCCTGGGTAGCATTCCTTCCAAACAATTAAACCTTCTCCTCTCTCACCCAAATTAGGCAAAGACAATTAAAAAAGTACACAATAGACTTTTAAACGTTATTAAATGATTAAGTTAACAGCAACCATTTCACTAATATCGCCATTTTAGTAGCGAAAATCTCAATCGATTGATAATCACGTGATAGTAAGCCACGCCTATATCAGTAAAATGCATCTAAAGCCTGCCCAGAATACTGAGTTTAGAAGAACTATTCTTTTTAACAACTTTTAAATCAATATTTGGCGTGATTTTACTTTATCAAATTTTCTTTTGGCCAAAACAGTTATTTCATTTTTGCACCCAATATTTTAAGAGTGGAAAGTATACATGACAAATTACCTGATACTTCCAAACATTAAATCATAACGCTTTTGAGATTCCAAATATCAACTTCAAAAGTTACCAGGAAAACATAACAAACGTCAGTAACATCGAAGAACAGCAAGTTAAGCCTTTTTCGACATAATTCTACATACAGAAGAAAAACACTTAGCGCCATCTATGGAAACACGCAAGAACTACTCACAATTCCTCTACTACAACCAAACATTTTCGATTCTTTAATCTGAATATCTGTGTTTATAACTACAATAAACGGAAATAAATAACAAAAATTAACGTTAATCAAGTCCACATTTGCATGTATCTTAACCCCCCTCAGATAAAACTGCTGTTAGAATTACGCCCCTTTTACATCCAAAAATCAATCCCAGCGACTCCACTACTCACACGTTCTACTTCCTTGACTGAGCGTGCGCGCAAGGGGAAAATCTGGCCTTGACGAAAGTAACGATCCTACTCGCCTTGAGGAACTGCCAGGCTGGGGGATAGTTTCGCCTGAGTGAAACAGGCAACAATCATTGAAGTAATTCCGAATGCTTACGTAGTTATAACCCATGAACCAGCTCGTTCCGCTATAATTCCCAACTCGGCAGACACATGTTTTCAACTAACTGGAAGTAAATAGGGTATTTAATCATATTCTTCGGGTAACTGTTTAACTCATATTACCTAAATAAGATTCGTTTTCCTTAGAAAGTTCGCCACGCAGCAGCCCTTCCAAAGCAACGTATGCTTTTTTTCGCATTTTACCAATAAAATATTGACCTAAACTCAGGATTGATATTAACTGAGAATGTAACTTTAATTTTGCAACTCCTAACAAGGAATTTTCATCACCAAATTTTTGAATAAATGAAGCCACTATATTCATATAAAATATGCATTAACAAAGTTATTAATGGAATAATTATCAAATAAAATCAAATTATAAGAATTAAATCATTCCTAAATAACTTAAAAACTTATAATGCTAAAATAAAATAATTAGTAACGTTTGCAAAAAAATTAACATTTTATGAACAATTTAATCACAAATAAATTTATCAATTAACTCTCAAATAGTCTATATCAAATTATTACTAATTCTTTATTTGACTTTTTCTATAATTAGCAATAATAATCTGAAAAGGTATGTTAATAATAATATAAACTTAAAAGTAAACATAATTTAAATTTTTTAATTATTTTACTGTGAAGTGTTTTTTAAACGCAATATTTAAAAAACAACAGATATAAGCAACGGAACACAAACTTTGTCTGACGCGCCATCTTGTGGAAGTAACTTTGCATGAAAGCAAATAGTTTCACCGACGGCTATTCGCCCAATCAAGTGACCAACAGCAGCCGAGCGCTGAACACTATTAGTTCGGTCCGAGGTTCGAATCCCGGCTTATGTCCGTTATCCAGTTCTATGGCTGCATAGGCGTTCTTGTGGTTTTTCCTACGTATAACGTGTATACGAGCCAGTTCCCTTCGAAAGTCCTCCACAAAAGCATCAGTCCCTTTAGGCAGACAGCCTTCAAATGCTTTGCCATAATCAAATAAAACAAACCACCCAATCAAATTCACTAAAAATCACCGATTTAATAAAACTATCTCATTGAAGCAAATTTATATTTAATCATGTTTTGTTTTAATTTTACCACGGGGGGGGGAGAATTTCTTTTTAATATTATTCAAGTCCAGCAACCAACTACATCGGTATACTAAATAACAGAAGAATGGGATAAATAGTAAGCAATACCTTAACATATCATAAATATTTAAGTATATAAAAAAAAATAGTAATACAGCAGAAATCCTCAAACTCCACATTACGGAATAAGGGGTGGATTTTTCTGAACTTTTAAAATTTAACCCTTTCATGCGCTAGATATTACTTTTATAATGTTTTTAACTAAAAAAAAACTCTAGTAACCGAATATTATGATCCTAGAGGTAAATAATATATGAATTAAAAAAAATCTACTCTTGCCCACTATTCTGTGGACTTCCATCTGTCGAGCCAGCCAGCACTAGCAGTAAATCCAGGCTCTCCTTCTTGAAATTCATCATAAAATTTTAGGTCTTGTAAAAGTGTCTGTCTCTTGTAAAATTGGTTCTGAAATGGGTGTTCCCTGCTCGCTTGCCTGAAACACAAATAAAAAGCACCTCACTCACTTTTTCATATTCACCGCCTTTCATACTTTTTCTTTCCTTTACACTATCCGTATATGCTCTTTTCACACACCAAGACTCGGTTTCGAACCTCTTCTTTTTCCACCCTATGAAAGTAGTCCGTCCAATAATTAAATCCATTGTAATTTTGTTTACACTTTCCCCTTTCTCCAGTCTCTTTAAGGCACCTAGTTTAATTTCCATTGTCACGCTAGTTTGTTTTCTTTTCTTTTCGAACAACATCTTCACTTCACAGAATATCAAAAGTTCTCAAAAATATGTAACACTTATACGCCTGAGCAAATATGAGAGAAGCAAACTGCGTTGCCAAGTATTACAACGTCTCTTGATATTTGTTAGGCAGTTCAAGAATTTAATGCCAGAATGCGAAAACGGCAAAAATTACAGAAAAAAAGCACTGAAATCCTTAAACAGAAGAGGAAAAACATACGCATAAATAATAATTATATGTAATATTTGCTCTTTTTAGCCTAGAGATATCTTGTCAAGTTATACGGAATCTCGAGGTATCGGGAGTCGAGTTTGCGGGATTCTAATGTAGTAATTACCTAATACGTAAAGTTTGGTCAAGTTATTTTGTAAAACTAAGTAGTATAAGTGCTTTGCATATTCTTTTGGATAATTGCCTAGTTTGTACTACTAGAAATTTTCTAACAGGGAATTTACTAACTAGTGTAGGTTCTTACCTGAGACAACGTAATAAAATGCAGATAAAGACTTACTACCTTAGTATTTTATTGAACTACAGATAATACTACCATATTAACACCAAATCCTTTATTTTTCAACACTAGTATTAAAACTAATTTTCTCTTTAAAAAAAAAAAAAAAAAAAAAAAAAAAAAAAAAGGATTCTAAAACGAAATCCAGTATGAAAACTGTTGCCACAAAAAGATAATACAATAATACGCAAAGTGAACATTTATAATTACTAAAATATTTGGGAGTTACCTCTAAATTAATTATTTACATTTACACCATCCTAACTATTAAAATATTTGTGAGTTACCTTAAATTAATTATTTACATTTATGCATTTTATGCCCTTGCACTAGCACCTTTTCTCCATTTAATGCATTAGAACTTTGTTTATTTTCTTACATAACTTCCACTCAAAAAATAGGAAATTATTAAAAGGAGTATTTTCAAACAATATATTTTATTATATTTAAAGATGACGGAAAATTTCGATGATATTGCCATGTGGTATAAATAACAGACTGCTGTATAAAGAAACTTTTCCTCTGGCCTTTGACCTGCTAAAATGTTTTTGTAGCACATTTCAACGTTAATGCAAAATATATTGTCTTTAAAATATCCTCAGTTTTTGTATTAAATTCCTCGGTTAATCTTTGGATTATGGTAACTTAGCGATTTTCTGGCGACTAACCCTGCTACAGCAACCTGCTAGTTTTGTTTTGGACGCCATTTTGTTTTCACGAAGTAAAGGCATGTTTTTTTCCCCTCAACATTTTTTCCCCACTGCTAGCAGAATTACGCTTACGCTAGAACTTTTATGGAACAAAAGTGCTTATAGGTGCGAAATTGGGAGAAAGTGCAGAACCGCCCTTTTGCTTGCCGCGTTTTTAAGAATTGCACATACACGGTATCCATGTTAACGTCGATCTATTTTCACTTAAAAAACATCCCAGAATTGCACAAAAATGGCATTGCGCACACTCTTGACTTTATCATGTACACTGCTAAAGTCCTAGCTAGTAACCTTTATCGCCTTACCAAAATGTCGCCAAATTACCTGTTACCATATTCCAAAGATTAGCCAATTCCTCTTATCAAAAGAAATGATGAATGCTCAGTTGTCTTAAACCACTGAATTCTGGCAATTATTTTCCGAGTTCCGAAGACAGAACGATTTTTATTTCTAACAGAGCGACAAAGGCGTCAATGGAGTTACAAAATATTTCTGTTGCTTTATACTTGACGGGGGGGGGGAGGATTAAGTTTCGTAGACTTTAAAACGTCATTACGTAACATATCACAGAAAAATAATAAATTGACTCCAAAGAAGCAAGAGACATCATTTATAAAAAATCTGATGTGTACACCACATGACTTCCTTTGTACAGAATATTAAATTATACGCATTTTTTCTTGCATTTCTTTTAAACTTATTGGATTTAATTAAATTACTTCGCCGACAGCGCATAAACCACAATAGAATAAATGCATTCTTTAAAATTCACTCTAGTGTTTGTTTACCATAGCGACACTCTGGCGCTACATTCACTTAACAGTATTATATTTCGTTCATATTATAACTCATAATGCACAAAATTTATATCATTTAAAGAATAGAATTATCTAATCGTTGCCACATGTTCTATTCAAATACTATAATAAAGCTAGAATGATGTATAAAAGAAATTAAGTAAACAAAAAAGAAACAGTTTTTCACAGACGATTGAGTATTTCTCATTCAGTTAATTCATTTCTCACTTCGCGAGAAGGCAAATATACATAAAAACTCAATATATGTATATTAAAAATTACGAAGTAAATCTTAACACTTATTTCCTCGAAAAAATTCCAGAAAAGATTTAGCATGATTTAATTGGGAATAATAAATGAAGGCGTTACCTTTGTTGTTGCGAAGCTAAGTTTCTCTAGATTGGCAACAAATCCACTAGTCTGCTGTTTCAAATGTAAACAATGAATGGCCGCCATAAAAAAAAGGCTTAGCGGCACTTAAATAACTTTAAAATTGTTGATAATTCTAAAAATATTGCATACAGATTTACTAAAGGCATAAAATCCTTAACCGGAATATAAAAACAACATATTTCAATCATTTTTAAAGCAAAAAATGAACAATTTACAAACATATAAGAGTAAAGAAACTGAGATCACTGAGCCGGGTAACAGAGTGGATATATATATAAATATATTTATATACGTTTGGTGCGGCCGATTGCAACC